ATACACGTAACATGGAAGAGATTAAAAAAGAGTATTTTTTCTTCAATATTAGGTGATTAAAAAATAAGCACAATTTATCAAAGAACATAAGTCATCGAAACGTGGGCTAATTGCAATTAACTGGTAATCTACAGAATTAAGAAAAGCTAGGTGTTGTAAATCAGGGTTTGCTGTCAGTACACTTAAAAAGCCCTGATAGATAAGAACTAATTCCAACATATCCTGATGACTTCGCTTACTGGTTTCCTCATCTGCCAGGAGTGCATACACACTTCAATATGATGCCATAAGTTACAACAAAAGCAGAAGTGCATTTGGAAAGACATGTGAATCATGCAAAGGATTAGGGATTATAAAACCCATTTACTTTATTACATTGGTCAGTATTTGCAGCCCATTATTTCCAAGTCCTGAAAATATCTGTTCCTACCAATTATATATATCCATTAGCTACATGCTACAACCACCTGGCTGCTGGGATCCTAAATCTATCACAGCACAAACCAGTATGGTTTTTTGTTGAGATGAGATAGGCATGTACAGGACAGAACAAGAGGGTGCAACACCCTGGAACACAAGCGGTGGTGCCCAGCCCAGTTATGGACCGGGAAGGGCATCATCTTGGGCAGTAACAGAAAAACACTCCAAGGACACAGGTAGGTCTTATAGAGATACAAGGGAAATATCTTTGCGCATCAGGAAAAGCTAAATTCAGGTATTTATCAATAAGCATGAGTTAAGACTATATGAAAGTTAAAACTGAAGTTATTTTTAAGTAAGTTTTATTAATTTTAATACTTAAAATTGGTTTTGGTATGATAAACTTAAGGGTTTGCTTAAGCATGTATAAATAACAGTCTGCAATTTTAGTCTAAAAGCCACTGTTGGAGAAGGAACCCTTTTTGCAACACAGTTTAATTTTGACAACAGTCAATAGGCATGTAGTTGAGAAAATAAAAGAGTAGTAAAGCATTACTTTTGTTATACACCTCTGAGCTTTCAGGGATCTATGGCTTAGGAACTCCCCAAGCTTGGCAAGGCGTCTTTGCATTTGATTCCCATGAATTCAGGGGAGCTCTGTTTCTTTGTTTTATACACTTTCTGTACATAAACATTATCAAACATGTCTAAATTTCACTACGAAGTCAATACTTAAATATCACGTAAGCAGCTACAGTACCTTTTAAATGAAGAAAATTAGTATCTCAGTTTTCCCTCCCTCAATCCCTACCTATATCATTACTTTCAGTTTCTGTTGAACAGAAAAGCTTTTACTCCCAGCACTTTCAGTTTCAGTTTAGCAGGGAAGTGCAAAAGAATGAGTTCTGCTTGAGAAAGTCATCCAAATTTAGGACAGCAACCACGAGTCAGGGGGAAACGGAAAAAACAAGAGCCAGGAGACTGGAAGACAAAAAGCTATCTAGGAAAAAAATTATTTCTATCTATGGCTTACTTCAACATCACATGAGCCTTAATTATATCACAATGGTTAGCGCTTTGTTTAAACCCAATCCTCCTTCACTCCACTTACTCCCAAAATAGTTTAAAATACGAGACTGAAAATGAGAATTTAAATTGGTTCTATAAAGTGATTTGTAATGTTTGTACAGTTTCTAGGAAATCAGCAGCTAAAACAGTCTTGTAGAAGCAAGTGTTTGCAGTTGTCTGGAAAAAAAGACCCAACAGAAAACAAGACAGAAACCAAAGCTACAACACTGACCAAGTCCTGTAAATCTGTGCAATAAATACGCATGCTTAAAAAAATATCCTCATCTCAGGGTTAGCAAAAGCATCCTAAGAATTCTACATTTTCACTTATAAAAGGAAACTAAAAAAAGAAAACAAGTTAATACAGTGCACAAAAATCAGTTCAAGGTTTCCATCCCTTTCTCCTCCTTTTGAAGTGGATATTAAACAAGAAACAGATGATTGTGGTAGAAAGCAAGTTTCCATCTTTTGTGGGTTCGTCCTCTTCCAACAGAGAAAAACCAAACAAACCCAAACCATGTTTGCTGTTATTCTCATGCACCAGTAAAGCCCCTGCATCACAGTTATAGGCATCTGGTAGTGATACACCTATTTATGCGGGAGGCACACACAGAGGGCTGTTCTCGTGTATTTACTGCACACACCCCTTTTCACAATTATTGGTTATAACAAAACACATTAAGTGTTTCCGAATGTAGGTTAGAGGGGAGCGTCAAAACATCATGTGCAGCACGAGACATTAGTTGGGGGGAAGCTGTCACAAGCAAGAACATGTTCTTAGAGAGCTATTTACCAACACACACTAAAAACAGCCTTTGAGACTTCATAATATTTTGGTAACTTATACACACAGCTCATCACAAAGCTGATTGTTTTTATTTGACATAATAAAAGGAGAATTACAGTGCTTTTAGGGAAAGGTCGTTTTCAAACATTTGTAGAAGCTTCTCTTCTAATATACTACTTAGAGACACTAGAGATTTATTAATGTTCTTATACTAGTGCACTTATTTGCATACCCTTTTGCTATCTTGCAGTAGCTCCTTAAAACATACACTGCATTTTCCTCTAAAATTTCGATAATACCCTCTAAACTTGCCCCAGTTCATGTACAAGACATACAAGGACAAACCAAAATGAAGCTATTATTTACAAAGTTGTATTTAAAAAAAGAAACAATCAAAGCCCCCACCAAGGCTGTTGCTCAACTTTGTTTATTCTGTGATGGTGCTCTGCTGTCACTGCATTCACCGTTTCCCCTCTGCTATGCATTTCCTCCATGTTGATCTACAAAAACATCCCTCCTCTCTCCAGCAAAGGTACGCTTTTTAGGCTCACCCTGTGCTAGGAAGATCTTAGGGACAGGGATCGAGTTATTTACCACCAGAAATGCTGTAAAATATCAAGCTAATAATATTCTTTATTCTAAAAGACCTTCATATACATCCTAAGACTTTTCCTCCGTACAAGACTGAAATCGATTACCTTGTGCAATGCAATTTTGCTTTACTCCTCTGGCAAATAAACCCTTCCCCATTCTAAATATTTTCCTCTTATCTAGAGCAGCATTTCCACTTCTTTGCAAACAGCAACACAAAGCACCTGCAGCTCTCCCTACATCCAAATCAAACATTTATGTCAGGCCCTGATCTGCCAGGGCTGAAACAATAATCCAGCGTTTCCTGTCTCCGATATGGAGATCAAGAGTATTTTCCGATTATGACACAGATTTAATACAAAATTCAACACAGAGAGTCCTAGGAGTATTGAGTTGCTTTCAGGGTGCCAAGGGTCGGCGATGGTTTATTTTTAAAATTGCATTGTTTCTGAACAGGTGTTTACTGATCTGGTTTACTATGACAACCACCCGTGTTACAGACTACAGGCAGTATCTATTTGTTAGGATCCTTTTGTTCAAGGAATTACATTGCTCTCTAGAGGAAGGCCACCAACCAGTATCTGCTTTCCTGTAGCCATACTGACCACAACACACTTTCAGAGATCACAGGAAGAAAAAGCTTTTCAAAAATATGGGGTTTTTAAAATAGAATATTTAAAATTTTACAGTTAAATACCATAACAGTTCAAGTATCAGAAGAAACGTTTTACAAAGAATATAATTGATTCCACGGAGTAGGAATTACATCTTCATCTTTCCTTACTGCTATCCTACAGCCTGGTATTTTATCAGAAATAAAGCCCATGATTTGTTTTTTAGAATTGGAGCACTACAGTTCTGGCAAACATTGCTTATACCTTTTTGTGTACTGCTGTATTTCGTATTTTCTCCTCACCTACCAACAGGAATGAGGGAATCCAGTAACGTGGAAACACAGGTCTATAGATAAAGATGTTAGGACTACCCAAAATCTGGAATACACGTACATAACCACCAGAACTCTGTACCACGGGACTTTACGAAAACACACAAAGCAAGCTAATGCAAAAGCAAATCAGTATTTCCACACTAGGAGAACACAGATTTATGACCACAGCTAAGAGGCCAAATAAGCCCTCTCCTCAGACCATAAAAAAAAAAAAAGCCCTGCAGTATGACTGTTCTGTTTCCTGCAGGAAATGAGATGCCTGTATTAGATACCCCTGTGGTTTTCATACTGTAAATGTATCAGCTGGTACAAATCCTCTGGAGAGGACTATTAACTAATGCTTAGAAAGAGCAGTGGCAGCAGCAGACCGCACGTAGCACCTCAGAGAAGAGGGGGGACAAAAGCTGACAAGTCATCCCTCCCGAAACCCCAGAGCCAACAGCTGAAGAACACATCTGGTAGTAGAGGCGGCGTCAGTAAGGAGCACACATACCTACACCCGCTGATGTCCCCTGCCCACCGCTTCTTTAAGCCAGGCAGCCTATTGCTCACCAGCACTCCCTCTCATCCAGGGGCCACCAGCCCATACACACCACCGCTCCTCATTAAACCACCCCTAATTACACACACCAGAGGAGGATTCCCCCCCCCAGGCTACACACATCCTATGCACGGCCGTTTTTCCTCCTTTCTACTGGGTGGGGTGGGTTGATTTATTATTATTATTATTTTAATATTTCCGAGTCGCTGGGGCACTAAGACAACTTCTCAGCGAGGTGTCCCCCCCCTCCGGGGGCTCTCCCCCGCCAGACCCCGCTCGCCGCCCTGGGTGGAGCCGCTCAGCCCCGGCAGGACAACCGCCGGCCGCCTTCTCCATGGCAAAGCCAGGGCCAGAAGCTGGTGTGGGGGGGAGGAGAGAAGAAGGGGGAGGAGGAAGGGAAAAGAAGGTGGAAACCTGTCTGAGGGAGAGCCCGGGGAGGGAGACGGCCGGCGGGCGGGAGGGCAGGGCCGGGCCGGGGAGAGGAGGGGGGGCAGCGGGGAGACAAAGGAGGGATGGAGGGCACCCAAGGAAAACGGGGGAAGCCAGGGAGGGGGGCGATGGCGGGGAGCCCCGCGGGGGCACCTGCCCGCCCCGGCACACGCATATACACATCCAGACACATCCACCCATACACACACACGTACCGAGCAGCAGCAGGCGGTGCGTCTGCTTGTACTCCCGCTTCTGCTCCTTCAGCGCCCGGTCGATGCTCTTGCTGACTTTCCTCGCCTCCTTCTCCGCCTCCCGCTCCTCCAGGCGCAGCTTCTCCCAGGGTCTCTGCAGCGCCGGCGGCTGGTGCAGCGCCTGCTGCCTCGCCGCCTTCCCCCCGCCGCCCGGGCCGCCGGCCTTGGGCAGCGACGGCCGCTCAGGGGCCGCCCCGTTACCGCCGCCGTTCTGCAGCAGCAGCGGCGGCCCGTCCGCCTCCCCGCCGGGCTTACCGCCGGGCCGGAGCGGGGCGCCGAGGGGCTGCGGCTGCGGGGCGGCGTGAGGCTCGGCCGGCGCTTCGGGCTCCGAGGCGGCGCCGGTGCTGGAGATGGAGCCGCCGCCACCGGCGTCGCCGAAGAGCCTCGGGCGCAGGCTGTAGCAGAGCCCCATGGCTCGGTGCCCCCGCCGGGGACGGGCTCTGGCGCGGCGGGGTTGGCCTCAGCGCTTCCCGCCGGCCCTACGCGCCGGGGAGGCGGCGGCGGGCGGGGAGGGGGCGCCGCGGAGCCCCTCACGGCCCCGCTGGGCCATCTTGCATTTTCCTTCCCCGGGCGGCGGCGGCAACGGCTCCTCAGCGCCGATCACCTGACAACCGGAGCTGCCACCGCCGGGTCCACCTTACCGTAAATACCCCAGCGCCAGCCCACCGCGCAGCGCCGGGCAGCCGGCGGGGGAAGGGCGGGGGCACACCGCCCGCCCCGCCACACAGGCGCGCGCACACACACACACACACACACACGCGCGCGCGCGTTCGGCAGCTCCCCCCTCCCCACCTTCCTCGCGCCGGCTCCGCCGTCCCCTCACGCCACCCTGCCCGATGGCCGCCTGCCCGCTCCCCGGGCCGGGGGGGGGCGAGGGGCTCCCCCCGCTGTCTACACCACCCGCCCTCCTTCTTCCCTCCCTCATGGAAAGGCCTGAGGGAGCTCCCGGAGCTGGCCCTCCCGCCCCAGGTTGGTGTCCCCTGGCACAACAGGCTGTCCCCCGAGGCCTAAGCCACGGATGGGCAGGAGAAGCCAAGGCCGAGGCCCTCTCACAGAGAGGGACCCCTCAGGGGGGAGAGGCCGAGGCAGCCCCCGCCATCCTCACAGCCACAACCCGGTTTTTTCAAGCCCCTCTGCACACACAGGCGGCTCCTCGCCCACCAGGCTGACTAAGGGAGCGGTGGGAGGACAGCTTTGGGTGCCGAGGGTAGGAGAAAATAGTGAGGCGAGGTTCTCTGGAGGAGTCGGGGTTGGCAGCAGTAGTCCTCCTGCTGCGGGCCGCCCAGGGAAGGCTGGGGCTAGAAGTCACCGCTTGGAAGGCAGCGGCAGCTCTCCTCACCCCAAAGCCCCGGACAAAATCTCATCACTCCAAAGGTCTCTCAAAGGGGCTCTCCTTCCGCTTGGTCCATTCTCCCCAGTCCTTCAATGATCTCGGCAGTTTTTCTGCGACAACATTTCATAAAATTTTAAGTCTTTTTCTGGGGCCACGTGGCTGCTGGATGAAGCATAAATATATTTCTGTCTTTAAATGTTAAAACAAAGGTCGTATGTTCACTATTATGATTGACAGGTACTTCTGAGTATGCATGTAGAGTCCCTTACTTCAGTGACATCTACTGCATTCATGAACCTCTTTATTCATGCAGTGTCCCTTTGGATTCTGTAATGACCCATGGCATACCAGGTCATTGGTTTTGTCTCCCAATTTTTTTCCAGTGGCCAATATTATATTAATAGATGCCGCTATTTATATACTGCTGTACAAAGGAGTGGCAGGAGGTACAATTCCTATCCTTCTGTACAATGAACGATTTAGAGCAAATTGCCCACAGATTTTAGTTCCTGGATATGGGAAACAGAATTGTTCTTGTGACACGTCTGTTCATGTCAAACGATTTAACGAGCATTGTCTAAAATATGTATTTACCAACTAGTGACTTGTGTTTTAAGATTCACTGGAAAAAAAAACAAAAAGCAGTGCCCTATATTAGCATAAAATAAATAGATGTCTTTTAACTGAAAGCATCAACTGCCTGTGATTGCACCACACAAAGGAAATTTTGCCAGTGAAAATCTTAGCAGGATCCAGCACACTGTAGACATTTTTCTCTTATACCCTTCGAAACGCTTACCAGCTATTTGGACAGATGCCTTGGCTCCGAGAAGAGCATCCAATAGCTGTTGCTTCTATTGTATGTTTTAATACGCGATTATACAGCATCCTGGTTGCAATCTTCTTGCAAAACATGTAAGCGGTTACATCACAGCAGAGGATGTTTCACCACTGCTGCAGCCCTGGTGTGTCTTGGCTGAAGGCTTTTATGGGCTGTGAGCGAAAGATTTCAGCTCTGAGCCGAAAACAGGAATTTGGATATGTAGAATCTAGGTGTTCGATCTGGACTGAATAGCTGGGATCCTGGGATCCGTGGCTGTCAGTGTAACTGTCGCTTGTCAGTGGAACTGGATCACATAGGAGAATTTGCTACTCATCCAACAATACAATAAAAACACAAAAAAACCTCCAAAGTAATGGTGAAAGTTCAGGGGTTAATATTTGGGCCCAAATGACAATGCGCATACTGAGTTTTGTGGGGGTGATTCTTAGAGCTCGGTCCATACAACAGCATTTGCAGAATCATGAGCTTCTTTCCAAATAGTAACAGAAATGCTGTAATCTGGCCAAATTAGTTCAGATCAGGTAAAATTTCTCCCAATAAAGAGCTCCTGGGCATGTGCAGTGTATGCTCAGTGAGTAACAGGGAAGGTGAGTGATATATTTGGGGCTACAGAGGAGACCTGGCAGAATATGCGCTGTAAAATGACATGCTTTATAAATAGTTTTGAAATAGCAGCCAATGTAATAACAGCTATGGATAGGTAGCATCCCTGAAAAACAGGCCACGCAGCCAAATACTGATATAGATACTCTACCTTATAAAATATCAAAGTATGTTTGGTCCACTGAAAGATCCTTCAGTGACCTACAAGAGCAAATTGGGTCTCGAGGGAAAAGTATTCTTACTTTTTTTCCTTATGGCTTCCAATAAAGAACAATAAGCAGCCTCTTTCTTTCCCCAGAGGAACAAAATCATCACCATTTCCAGATAACCGTGGACTGGGATTTTCAAGAATTTAAAGTGAGAAAGTCAGTATGATGCAGTTTCCTGATCTGAGTACTCTTTGGAGAAACTTTCGTGGAATAATGTTCAATGTTTTCTAAGGTTAGTCATTCAAATCAGAGCTTAATCACTGGCTTAGCTTTTCAGCAGTATTAATTACCTATGATTCTCATTATGTTAACTGAAATTAGAGTCATAGAACAATCCAGTACTCTTCTATGGGGAACGGACCCCAAAAGGGATCCCTTGAAAGATCATCTGGTCCAACCTTTCGTGGGAAAGGTAGGCTAGATGAGATTATCTAGCACTCTGCCCAATTGCATATTGAACACCTCCAGTGATGGGGACTCTACCATGCTCCTGGTAAGGTTGTTCTAGTGAATAATTGCTCTCACTGTAAAAAAAGTCTTTCTTATATTGAGATGAAACCTCTCCTAGTGGAACTTGTGCTCGTGGCCCCTTGTCTTCTCCATGTAGCTCCTTGTAGATCCTCCATGCTCTTTGTAGCCACCCTTTAAATACAGGAATACTGTGATGAGGTCCCTCTTGAGCACTCTCTTCTCTAGGGAGAAGAGCAGGTCCCTCCTGACCCTTCTCCAGGGAGAAGAGACCTAACTCCTTCTATCTCATAATGAGGCAGGTTTGCCAACCCTTTGATCCACTTCGTGGCCCTACTTTGGACCCTCTCCAGTCTGTCCTCGTCTTTTTGAATTGTGGGGACAGTTAATGAATATATATATATGTAGTTAGATCTGATCTCTAAGTACAATGCTTTAAACTGTTTTTTGTTTCTTGCTTTCAATGTATAGTTCCACCAAAGAAGTAATTAATTAGAGGCGATTTCCAGTCATATGCAGCAGCTAGGTGTGTCCACGAGATGGCTCTACTTACTTCAAGGAGCAATACAATTCTAGTAAGTAAATCTATAAATATTATTCCTATGAAGAAGCATCTTTACCGTTTCTTAGAAAGGAGTGAAATTTATGCATTTCTTGAACACCCATATGAAAATGATTTGTATTCTTTTCTGGTTTTATAGTAATTTTGATTTAACCATAGTTTCCTATACTATGTAGCTGTTTGGGATTTATGCAGTGTTCCAGGTTTTAACCAACAGATAAGTGTTTTTGATCAAACTCAAACACATGTGTTAACTGCAGTTGCCTTGAAAGTGTAACTGTGTGGGAATTAAAGACACCACAGTTAAATAGATCTGTAATAAGTTTGATCAGGCAAGAATCTTAAAGGCAAGGAGAAGCACTCCCGGGGCTGGACATTTGTTCATCTTCTTGTTGCTTTGATTAGCCCCTATATTATTTGATTGTATATGTATTCTGACTATAGTTTTGCTGTATTGTTTTTCTATATCTTGGTCAGAATAGTGCTGTGAATTCAGAAACTAAATTCAGAGCATGCACTGGGATATTATTTCTAAATTATTTTGATATTTTTTCCTCAAGATTTTTCAGGACCTCCGTGATGATTAGTGAAAAATGTTGCGAGGTTTTTGGGTTTATTAAAGAGGAAAGCTACATGATAGGAGAAGAAAAAAAAGTAAGAAATGCAGAGAAACGTGCTGTGACAAACACTAGATATTTGCAAAACTCCTATTGAGGTTGATTTTCCTCATGGATAAGGGGTCTAGGATGTACCCAGCTTCCATCAGAGGATGAACATCTCTTATCTTCTTTGATAGGTACTTGTCAAAAACCTACTTTCTTCTTGTGCGATGTATATTATTATTTTTGTTCTTAAGGTTTATAGTAAGGGCTAAACTGTTTACGTAGTGTGCCTCTACTGCCCTACTGTATCATTGCTGGTACATGGGAGAAGGAAAATACTGTTCTTTGATATATGCTTTGCTCCTTAAAGGCTGGAATCTATGTTGCCAATAGAAAGCCTACCTGTAAGCACAGCTACACCAACAAATCTTTTCTATGTGAAATGTGTGGAGATTAGGTGACTCCCCTGACCTCCTGCAAATCTCAGGAAGTCCAAAGACAGAAGACCAGAAGAAAACTGTATCTTTTCCCTTGGTCTTCTCTTCGAGAGATATCCTAAACCTGCAGCGTAGTTTCCTTTCTCGTGACCTGAAAAGCTATGCAAAGTTATGAATATGGTATTGTGTGTGAATGCACTGGCTGCCTTTCCTCTCCAAGCTCTTTACAGGACATCCCAGGATTTATAACTTCTCCATCCTATAGTCTCTCCTTCCCAACATCATCTCCAGAGCTGTGAAGTTCAGGAGGAAAAATTAGCTTCACAATTTACTTTGATATTAGTATTTTAAACATCAGTAGTTTCAGGGATCCAGTTTTAACTGCTAAATTGATGCAGTCACCTAGTGCTGGCTAGACCCATGGAAATCTCAGTACATGAATCCCATAAATTATTTTAAGCTCATTCTTTAAAGTTTCTGTTTTGTTGCACTGATAGATCAGTAAATAAAAAATAGATAGGCAAATTATTTCAGACTGTAGTGAGCCCTTCTAGTTTCTATAATACACACAGACACAATAAATGCTTCTGTTTTCACAAAACAACTCCAACCTTCACCAC